AATGATATATTAAAATAAAGTTATTATAAAGGTTTAATTAAGAAAATTATTAGTAATTGCACTAAAAAATTTCAAAATAGCTTTTACAAAGTAAGTTTAGTAACAGGTAAATTTTTACTATTAATCTTAGTAAAATAACTCTGCAGTTTCAGTTTTACTAAGAAATTTAGTAATAACCACTATTGCAGCTTCAGTTTTACTAAGAAAACTTAGTAAAAACCACTATCGCAGCTTCAGTTTATTAAGAAAAATTAGTAATAACCACCATCGCGGCTTCAGTTTATTAAGAAAAATTAGTAATAACCGCTATTGCAGCTTCAGTTTTACTAAGAAAACTTAGTAAAAACCGCCATCTCAGCTTCGTAACCATTTTATTATTAAAAAAACGATTCTGAAGCTGCAGAGGCATTTTTTACTAGGTTTCTTAGTAAAAAAAAGGTTTCTGAAGTTGTGAAGGCGTTTTTTACTGTTTTCTTAGTAAAATAACATTTCTGAAGCCGCAGAGACGTTTTTACTTATGTTTTTCTTAGTAAAAAAGGTATTTCTGAAGTTGCGGAAGCATTTTTTACTATATTTTTCTTAGTAAAAAAGGCATTTCTGAAGCTGCAAAGGCACTTTTTACTATGGTTTTCTTAGTAAAAATCACTTCTAAAGCTTTGGAGATGGCTTTACTATTGATTCGAATCAAATTAAATATTTGAATACTTGATTTAATTTGATCAAATTGAATCAAACATTGATTTGAATTTGATTAAATAAATCATTCTTTGATTTGAATTTGATAAAATCAAATATTCAAATATCAAATTGAATTGCGAAACCCTAGTCATAACTATATGCTGATGAATCGAATGGTTGGAACCAATTGAGATTTATCATAATTCCTAAATGGGAATCAGTAGTTTCCGATGTAAAAAATCACGAAGAATCAGGTATGTCAATTTGTGATGGGAATGTTTTCCAAATTTCTCTGTCATAAATATCAGTTATCAGTTCAGTATCATTCCAATTGGTCCATTTTTTCAAAAGTGATTCAAATCCTAGTCGCTGATACATTGTAATCAATTGAGCCTTCAAAGATAGCAAAGGAAAAATCATCTTTGGTTTTCTAATGTAATCTTTAATATCAATATTTGTTTTGTTATTTCTGTTTCACAAGAACTCCTCTGGCCTTTTTTTAGATGATTTGGAAATTTCACATCAGTGCATTTAAACCCATTATTTGACTGATCGTTCACATTGTTAGCTTAAACAGTTCATCGTTAAGTTAACTAAGATTATTTGCTAACAGGGAGTTTAAGTGCGTCTAAACTATGGAAGAAATAAACACAGATTAATTATGT